AAATGCCAACAGCAAGTTCACTATTCAATTAAACTAATACAGAAATAACAGAAGGGTAATAAAGTAACATGAAGCTAATTAATGAAGACAAATTATGATATAAACACACATCATCTCGAACGTTAATGGTACGAAATCACATTACACATGCACCAAGCAAAAAGTAATGGGTTCCTCCTTGTGGTCCTGGGACACTGCTAGCCTGGCTGCATCTCTCTGTACTTACCAGCGGAATCTGCCTCTCTCTACAACCCAGTGTAATCATGGTGCCACATTTTATGTTTCTCAGACAGAAACAAGAAGGATAAAAAGTTGATATTTTCACAAGAAAAGGGGCTTTGGTAATAATAATTTCAGTTTTTACAACAGAAAATCGTGCAAGAAATAATCTTTGTGTTAGCAGCACATGATTCCTAGAAGCTTCTCAACACTCCTGGGTTTTAATTTTTTAGAACGTGGATGAACACATTGAGAGGAACAAACTTCTAAATATAGCACAGCCTCTGAGGCAATGGATCCGTGTCTGATTTGAGGCACTGAAATTACTATTCTTTTCTTTACTGTGAATCGGGATAGCCTATGCCCAAAATCTAGCACTTTGCAAATCCTGTCCTGTGTTTTTCAGTGACAACCTGGCTTTTCCTTCTAACAGATAGATCTCATTTTGGAGTACACACAGTATATGCAGTACTGTACATAACAAAGAAGAGCCTTGGTTTTCTGCCTTTGTCCTAAATTTGTTAGGGTTCTTAGATGGTTTGCTGGATGTGGGCATTGTTTAAAACTATAGATAAATAGAGGAGAGTGTTCTAAAACTAAACATTAAGAGTTTGCATATGATCATGGGTATTTTTCTTGTGAAAAAGTAAAAGTTCTCTCACAGAATTTTATTGTCACATGTGGCAGTTCATGGAAATCTTTGGTCACTGCACTGTTACTGGTTCCAGCAGTTCATATAGTGTGGAGGCTTATTTGCATCTAAAAGGCTAAGAGTTCTGTTGGACTGTTTGTATGTTCACAGCCAATACTGTACATCAAAAGAGAAGGGTTTAATAAACTGGACTGTTAATGCATTAGTGATGTAAGAAAAAAATGTCTTGAGACTGGAAGAAAGGTGTGGAACAACAGGATCGTGAAGAAGTCCATAGGATTGACTGTCAATGGCTTTGAGGATTTCAAATCTTTGAATCAAGTCTCCTTGAAATCTTAAGTGTTCAAGACTAAAAAGATGTAGTTATTTCCAACTGAATGTGTGCCTGATTGCTCTTCACTGGACTGGGTCAAGAGCAGCAGTAACATCTCCCGTGGTTCAACACCTGAAAAGATAAGGCAGTTTTAAAGCTGTGTCAGCTTCTTTGAGGTTGTGTTCTTGGTTGCAAGAGAGCTTTTCTTTCTACGGAATGACTCCTGGAAAGTTGTATTTTTTGAAACTCAGGGTTTAATTCGGTTGTGACACAATTCACAGTGGGCATGTATATCTTTGTTTTTCGGCTCTTTTATGAGGTCTATAATGTCCATGAATGTTTATTTATGAAACTGGTACTGTTAGGATTTTCAGGACTCCACACATCCTGTGAGACCTTCACTGAGCAGGGGGTGGGAGGACATGTTAAGCTCCTAAGGCTCATATCTATGGAATATCATGCTGAGAGGGATTCTTGTGGTATTAAATTGCTGAGAAATATTTCAATGTCTGCCTACCAAATCGACCAGCTCAGAGACTGAACCAACATCCATTTCCCACGGAAGACACAACATTTCCAAATTAAGTCCTATTAACTACCAAGTAAAAATGCATCTCATGCTATTTTAATCCTGTGCAGACTTTATGTTCTGGGGCAAACCTGAAATCTTGATTGAATTTGAGGATGTGCATTCAAGTGCCAAGTTTACTACGGTACAATTGTACGTGTTCACTTAATTACCTTGCTCTATATTTTTAAAACTAATTTACCCTTTTCCATCCTTCATTGTGATTTTAACATATTTTTACTATTTTGTCACTATTGTCTGTGGTAACATGGCCTGTGATTTGCCAAACTGAATGTTTATGAAGATAGTGCATTACAATGGCTGTTGTAATGAATCATGGTGACATGGTGAGGCAGAGGTCAGCATTGTGCCCAGTGTTTGATTACGGACCTGAGGTGCTGTGTGCAAGGAGTTCGTAAGTTCTCCCCATGTCCCTGTGGGTTTCCTCTGGGTGCTCCGGTTTCCTCCTACAGTCCAAAGACATGCTGATGGGTTAATTGGCTTCTGGGAAAATTGGCCGTGGTGTGAGCGTGTGTGTGTTTGTGTGTCTGCCCTGTGATGGACTGGCATCCTGCCCAGGGTGTACCCTGCCCTGTGATGGACTGGCACCCTGTCCAGGGTGTAACCTGCCCTGTGATGGACTGGCATCCTGTCCAGGGTGTAACCTGCCCTGTGCCCTTTGCTTGCTGGGCTGGGCTCTGGCTTCCCACGACCCTGAATTGGAAGAAGCTGTTAGAAAGTGGATGGATGGATGTAATGATGAATCAATATATTCAGTTCACTAAAGTGCAGTGCACAGAAAGAAAGGTAAAAACATAAGAAGAAGAAATGAAATGAAAGTAAAATAAACTTAAATAAAGGAAAACCTTGGTATTACTTAAAATTTACATGCAGATCGTAAGCTCTCATAATGACTTCCTGTAGCTAGAGATGGAAGACAGGTGAGATTTTATTTATAGAGCTGTCGACTGTCAACATCTTTTGCTCTTCTCTTTACTTGGATTGGAGACCAAGCTAGATTTTTTATGAAATGATTATTTCACCGTGATCGTGAAGCACATATTTCTTGTGGTGCACATTCCTAAAGCTAAACTTAGTTTAAAGCTAAATTAAGGCTCTCTTATCAATGCAAGGAGCATACAGTCATTCCACGTTGTACGGTCAGTCACGTATCTCTGGAGATATATTTACTTCTATGGGAAGAAAATAGCTAAACTGGAGAATCTTTGAAGAAACATTATACACAGAAAAATGTTTAAAAATTGGAACAATTACAGTTCAGTTTAGGCAATTACTGCTTAGATTAAGTTGTTGAAAGCTCACTAGGACCATAAACAAGCAGGCACAGGGGTTCTAGAGAGACAATGGTAAAAAGCTCCCCTATTGGGCAAATATATTCCTACTGTATATCTCTGTCACACAGTTCTTGTGTCTTATGTCTTATGAAGCCATATTGCTGATTTTATTCTGGGCTAAGATTGTGTCCAGAGGAAATAAATGGCAGAGAGTCTATAGAGTACCAATGTCAAAGAGGGTATCTTTACCAGTGAATGCTGGAATGGGTTTAAGTGAGACTGTGTGAAAGTCCCCCTTAATCATTTAGCTTCGGTTAAAACAACGCTTTGGGGGAAAAACGCTTCAAAGACTACAGAGTTGATGTCTCACACCTGAGTGGCTGTACTATAGCCAAAAAAATGCTTTCACAAATGGTGTTGGTGCTAGGCATTTTAATCCCACACATTGTTTAGTGCTCATCACTGATAACAAACATGGAAACACAACATTGTCACAGCTTTCGGTATGAAGACATGCTTATCAAGAAGACGTGATTTAGCAGCCATATCACCCTGCAACTCACAGCTGACAGCCCACTGAAGCTCAGCAGGTGTGAGCCTGGCCAGTACCTGGATGGTACACCTCCTGGGAAAAACTAAGGTTGCTGCTGGAAGAGGTGTTAGTGGGGCCAGTAGGGGGCGCTCACCCTGCGGTCCATGTGGGTCCTTATGCCCCAGTAGAGTGATGGGGACACTATAGTGTAAATAGGCGCCATCCTTTGGATGAGATGTAAAACCGAGGTCCTGACTCTCTGTGGTCATTAAAAATCCCAGGGCATTTCTTGAAAAGTGTAGGGGTGTTACCCTGGCGTCCTGGCCAAATTTCCTATTGGCCCTTACCAATCATGGCATCTCAATAATCCCCATCTATGAATTGGCTTCATTACTCTGTTCTCCTCCCCACTGATCACTGGTGTGTGGGGAGTTTACTGGTGCACTCTGGCTGCCATCGCATCATCCAGGTGGGGCTGCACACTGGGGGTGGTGGAGGGGATCCTCATTACCTGTAAAGCTCTTTGAGTGGAGTGTCCAGAAAAGCGCTATATAAGTGTAAACAATTATTATTATTATTATCAAATCTGAATGCATCCTAATTGCAGATAGTTATGTTGTAACACTGACCTTGCCTTTGGATTAGAGTCATCTTCCTGAACCCCAGTAGTATACATGCAAGAGGTATTTAACTATGAAGTTTGCAGCAATAACTAATTTTGAATAAAACATGAGAAAGAAGTCTAATTAATTTGCTCACTGATTAAAAAGAGGGGGATATAATGTGATTGGTTTGTCTGGATGCTACATGATCAAAAACGGAATTAATTTTTACTTGTCATTATTTATGTCTCTGAACAGTATTTATTTAAACTTGGCAGTGCTAATGACATATAAAGAAAATATTGGTGTTTTTAAGGAGCATAGAAATAAGAGGAGAACAGAAACTTCTGGAATGAATATCAGCTCAAGATTACATGGAGCCCTGCATCTTGCTCATGGTTGAGAGCCCATTGCATAAACGTGCACTGTGTTTTTCTGTTCTCTGAGTTTCTAACATTGATTTACGTCTCATAAAAATCAGTATATAAATATAAAATGTGCTTTCACTGTTTTATATCCCTGTGTGCCTTCAGCGCGCGTGGTTGTGTCCCTGTGATCTTGTGTCTATGGCACGACTCATGTAAACACACGCATGACGTGCCTCCTCTCCCCTGCACCTGCAGGTTTTACTGGGACCTGACCATGCTGCTTCTGATGGTGGGCAACCTGATCATCATCCCGGTGGGCATCACCTTCTTCAAGGACGAGCACACGCCCCCCTGGATCGTCTTCAATGTGGTGTCGGACACGTTCTTCCTCATCGACCTGGTGCTCAACTTCCGCACGGGCATCGTCAAGGAGGACAACACCGAGATCATCCTGGACCCCCAGCGGATAAAGATGAAGTATCTGCGCAGCTGGTTCGTGGTCGACTTCATCTCCTCCATCCCTGTGGACTACATCTTCCTCATCGTGGAGACCCGCATCGACTCCGACTTCTACAAGACGGCCCGCGCCCTGCGCATCGTGCGCTTCACCAAGATCCTCAGCCTCCTGCGGCTGCTGCGGCTGTCCCGCCTCATCCGCTACATCCACCAGTGGGAGGAGGTAGGCCTGCTTGCTTCCCGCTTCGGGGGGCCTGGGCCC